TTGACCCCCTTGCACCCCCACCAACACACACTGCTCCTCTCACCAGCTCCTTGCTCCCTTCAGAGGCCATTGTCCCCCTGTTGTCACCTACTTTGAAGAGGTAGCCTCCATTTCCTCTCTTGGCAGTCGGTTGTTGCCCGGGGTGTGTACACACCAAACAAACTTGAAACAGTAACCCCCTGTCCTACATTGGCTGTCTCCTGCTCTCTTTATCTGCGTGCTCTCTCTCTCTCTCTCTGTCTGTGTGAGCTGACTTCCTCCTCATGGCCCTGGTTGATAATTGCCATAAGCTTCCCTCTTGGTTTCATTTTCCATTGTCCTCCCCCAAATTCTTGGCTCTGGCTTGAGATAAAGGGATGAGTACTTCAAAGGGGTCTGCAAAGAGTTTAACCCCAAGCCGAAAGGAACAGCACACAATACTGTAATTGAGAGCAGTTAGTGATCACAGAGCTGCAGCATGGAGAGGACAGCACCGGTAGACACACACAAACACACACACACACACACACACCCTCTGAGTGTTTATGACTGCAACTGAGGTGGCCAGTTGCCTTTACGACAGGCCAAGGTTGCTCAGGAGACCATATAACCAAGTTGTAAAAACCTCTCTAGTCCTCTTAAGGTTTTAAATAGGAGGTGTTTTCATCAAATATGACTTCAGATACCATAAAAAATAAATAGCTTAGTGTATCTTGTGCATCAAAAAAAAAGAAAAAAAAAAGAAGCAGTCAACATTAAAAAAGTTGATTGACCCGCAGGTGATTTATGCGTGCCCTTACTTCAGTATTTATAGTCCTCTTTGTAGTCGGACTGAATTTGACCTGTCCCTGTAATAATATCCTCCCAAACAGAGAGATAGTTACATCCCATAACCTCTCCCCCCTGAAGCCCTCTTTCAAGGATCTTTTTATAGGGCCAGGAGCCAAGGACACCCCTGGTCTCAGGCCAGTCACGGACTTGGGGTCAGCTCCTGAGGGGCAGCAGGGAAGACCCGACCTATGGGGACCTCCCATGAACCATAGAGGGGGTTGACAAGGCAGGACATGACGGCCCAACTGGCCTCTGGTACTGGCAGGGGGTCCACACCATCGCCATGGTGATGGCTTCCACCCTGGTGTGTTTACTGTCAGAGTTCAGCCTGGGCCCTCCAAAGTTAACAAAGGCTGACATTGTCTGGGCACCTCTCAGTATATTATCCAGATGACCTGTGTGCGTACAGAAAGTCCTAGACTGTGTAGATGAGCTTTTATGAGTTAAGAAATTGGGTTCATGCAGACTTGTTTTAACTCTTGAGTCATTAGTGTCTCACATCTGGCATGGTTCCAGATGTCAGATATAGTGTACATCAGTGGTTCCCAACCTTTTTTGTCAGACATGCCCACACAGACCTATGTAGTACTCCTTCACTGACATTATTGATTCAGCTGTTTATCCATTACTTTTTGCTGACTGTTTCAACTTCTGAGGTCGCTTGCTAACTAGTTATCACACACCCTCAACCATGACATTCAGGTGTTGCAGCTATCTCACCTAAATGGACATTTATTTTTTATTCAAATTGTAATTTCTGTGTTTCTAATTTAGCTGAGCTACTTCACAATCTTTCCATATACCCCCAGGTAACCTCCTGCGGTACAGCTGACCCTGACTGGGAATCAATGCTGCTCATCTTTTGCTGGGACAGTAAATTTGATGTGGGATGTTTTTGGGCAGGATGTGAAGGCGATAAAGTGGCCTTTGAATGATGAGTAATCCCTTAGTCATCATGGCCTCTTCAAGAGCAATTTCCTCTTTTATTAACCTTGATGGGAAGCGAGACATCAAGGGAGAAAGTTTCACAGCACCTTTAGCAAACAGGCTGATCAAAGTGTTTGCCGTCTTTGTACTGTACTTTTTGAATTCATGTCCACTGAGACAACAAGGACACACAGACACCCACTGTCTCGCTTTCAAGAATATAGCCAGTCATCTTGTACAAAGAGTCCCCTGTGGTGGCTCATTTGAACACTAAAGACCTATCCAAAACACTATCGACTCTGTTCTATAAACACTAGTAGCATCACTGACTGTAGCCAGTCCAGTATGAAGGAAATGTAGTGTCCAAAATGTCCACTGCTGTCTGTGTCCAAACAGCTCCTCTCAGTCTGACCAGTGAATGGATGTATATTGAGTGTCTGAGCTGTCTATGGGCTTTTCACTCCTTTTCGTGTTATCTCATGCTGCAGTTAAGGAGTATTCAAAGAGCTCAGAGCTGTACAGTAAAAGATGCAGAAGGGAGTAATTCTTCTGTCACTTAAATGATAACATCCTTCATGGAATTTATCCTCAGTGAGCATATGTTTTAATCTGGTGTGTATGCATGTGCCCTTGTTGCCACTGGTAGGAGCTGTGGAGTGATAACACCACTATGATTTGATTTCCAATTGCAACATGTTGTATCTAAATGAGGATTGGGGATGGATATAGTGACTATCCATTATTTAAGAAGCATGTTTTCAAGCCTCAAAACTTTTTATCATGCAGAAGTTCCCTTCAATAAGGCTTTGAATCCTGCAGCAGGGACACTGATCTGTGGCTCTATCCTTTCCAAAGAGTGCTTTTATGAGATTAAAATCATAGTTTCGCTTTATTGTCTTCTTGTAATGTGACCAAAAATGCATATGACGATATAAACATGCCATTTGATACACACCGGTGCATGCATTGTGCATCCCCGGGACTCCGGTGGGTTAATCTCAAAAACTATGCGGGTCGTGAAAAGAAAAGATCCCTGCGTCTTTAAAGTTTATGTAGCAACAGAGGGATTGTAGCGATAATGCTATTAGGGCGGCAGATCAGTTACTTCTGACGCTCCAAAGCCTCAGGGAGTTGGCTCAAGATTGCTTGTCTTTGATAAGGTCCTCACGATGTAGCTGCAACTTCGTGAGCTGGGAAAAGATTTGGTTAAAACGTAGCAAAAAAAGCTCGCAGGTCAGGAAATGAACGGAACAATCTTTAAAATATATTTCAACCAGAGTGACTGCAGCGTATCCGGGAATCTCCGCCACTTATTTTTCTTTTTTTTCGGAGGCGCCAGGCTGCAATTGTTTTTTATGCAGCTGTCGGGACCCGGCAGTCGGTTCCTCACTTTGAAGTGCGCTGCTCCAGCTTCTCCGTTCAGTTGGTGTTGGAGTCGCCTACAGGAGAGACCTACCGTGCGGCATGGCAGCCTGAAACCATAGGGAGGAGAAAAGGAGGAGGGAGAAAAGCGCTATTTTTTTCCTCTCGAGTGCATTTTTCTCTCCGTAAACCGACTCAAACCTGAACGGACTGTATGTGGACGCGTTGTGGAGACGAGTACTGTGGATTATACGCGCCTTTCTTTGTGGATAAAACAAACAAAAAAAACATCAGGAGTTTAATTTGAGGAGAGAACTCGTGGATCGATGGTAAGTTACAAGAGTGTGTGCCTCCTCAAACTGGCCCCCATTGGAGTTCCCTTTGATGTGCTGTTGACTCGCCTTTGAAGTAATGTTCTCGGGAAAATGAACCGCTTTTGCTGCGTTTAAAGACCGAAAAACGCGTCGAATCGTTTCTGTATCATTCACTTCATTTTTCTTTTCCACATCGTTTTATTTCATACTTAAAGTAGAAGTTTTCGAAGAAGTGTTTCTTTTTGTGGAATTCCTCCCCCACAAGATCTGAGACTTTGGTGTGTACATGGGATTGGACGTTAAAGTGTTGTTGTATTATTTTTTCGCCTTAAATGTAACATTAAAAAAGAAACTTTAAAAGATTCCAGACTATTTGACAGTTTTAACTTGAGTGGGGTTGTAATGTACACGGTGTCATGCAATGTAATTTTGAATAGTTACTTTTTCGAGAAGTAACCCCGGGTGTTGGTGTAAGAAGATTTTGAGCTGTTGCTGTGTCTGGAGCTGTTTCTGCTATCCCTGTTTTCTACTATGTCTGACAAGTTTAACAGTGGAGCAGTGTAACCGAGTGTCAGTGATACGAAGTGACATCTGCTATGTTGCACATCAGCCGCTGATACATTATAACATTGATGCTTTGCGGTGAAGCAGCGATCATCTGCAACAAACTGGTCATAACCTCCCCGTTAATGGAACAGCAGATAACTGTATGTTTGAAACATTTGAGCATGTTAAAGCCCCATGAGTAGTACACCAAGCGCATACACAGCAGCAGCAGCAGGCAGTTAACTCCATTAACTATTTTGGTCACGTTTTTCGATCTCTTCGAGTTTGTCCCACATCAGTGTCCTACAGGTACTCATGGGCAGGCTCAATTTGGTGTTTAGTCGCTTGTGATGAGATGTAGAAACGCAGGAGTGAGTGCTCGGACATGGGGAGAAAAAAGAAAGACATGTGTTTGCATTCTGCAGCAGGCAAGCCAGCCTCTAACCCTGACATCAGCCGCGATGGATCCGGAAGCGTTAATAAAGCCGTGTCCGTGCGTAATGCGCTGGCATTCTGAAGGATAAATGACTTATTAATGGTGTTCAGTTCACAACCCCGCTTGACATACATGTGATTACTATTTTTCGTGTTATCGCAAGAGAAGACTATTGTCACATTCATTGAAGGTATCGTCCAGGTGGCTCTCTGCTCGGCAGTGCATGTGCGAAATCACTGTTAAATTCTTGTTAATTTGCGTCCCAGCAAATAGCGCCTCGGTAGAAATCACATTCCAGGTTGAGATGTGAAGGACTGCTGTTTATGTAATGCTGCTGCAGCGTTTTCTCAGATTTTTTTTTTTCTGTGAACTAGCCTGTCTTTTTCTGTAAAAGTCAGTGAGGGACTGAAAAGACTCTCACTGCGTCTCTGCCCCTTTGAAGTTGGGGCGGATCTGGTTTTGATTAGATCAATACTTTGTGTTTCAGAGAGAAGACGGGCAGCCAGAGAGAAGCTCCCCCGCTGACATAAGAGAGTGAGGAGATTACAGTAGAAGCTCAGAGGAGGCGAAGAACACACGGGCTCTCTCCTGCTGCCTTCAGAGCCATGAGCCGGGCGCTTATGGACCATATCGCCAGTAGTTTCCGAGAAGATGCTCCTCGACCCCCGGTGCCTGGGGAGGAGGGCGAGGCGCCCTGCTACCCCGGCAAACTCGCAATGATGAAACCTTTGGAGCCCCCCAAATCGGTTCTGCTCGGCTCTGCGGGTTCCTCGGCAAGGAGGAACGAGGATGGTCTGGGGGAGCCAGAGGGGAGTGCCTCCCCGGATTCACCGCTTTCCCGGTGGACAAAGTCTTTGCACTCTCTCCTCGGGGACCAGGACGGTGCTCTTCTTTTTAGGACATTCCTGGAGCGAGAGAAATGTGTCGACACTTTAGACTTTTGGTTCGCCTGCAATGGCTTCAGGCAAATGGACCTCAAGGATACCAAAACGCAGAGAGTCGCCAAAGCAATTTACAAGCGCTACATTGAAAACAACAGCATTGTCGCCAAACAGCTCAAGCCCGCGACTAAAACCTTCATACGGGATAATATCAAGAAGCAACACATAGACTCTGCGATGTTCGACCAGGCGCAGACCGAGATCCAAACCAACATGGAGGAGAACGCGTACCAGATGTTTCTGACCTCTGACATTTACCTGGAGTACGTGAGGACTGGGGGAGAAAACCCGAATCACGTCAACTCGAACGGGTTGGGCGACCTGAAAGTTGTATGTGGATACCTGCCCACCCTCAATGAAGAGGAGGAGTGGAGTTGTGATTTCAAAGCCAAAGCGCTGGTTGGACTGTCAGCGAAGGCGAATAGGGCCCCCGTCTCCATGAGGGCGGTTGAGGTGATGGAGAGTCGATACAGGTATGGCTGCAACACCTTTTAAACCGCATTTAGCTTTACAATCAGAATTCACACTGTACATATATAATCAATACAGTAGGCTATATAAAAAAATCTCATGCGTAAAAGTGGAAAACAGATTTTATCCACTTAACTCCAGGGTTCCTGTTAAGTTTGTAGAAAACTCTCTGTCTTTCACTCCTTCGCTGTCTCTGGCTCCTCTCACCATCTCCAGCAGCAGCAGCCCGCTGTTGGCGCTGGCCTGGATTTCCGGGGCTTTGAAATAGTTCCGCAGAATGAGGGATCGTCTTCCACGGGAAAAGTTCACAGAGCACGGCTGGCTCTGGCCCCAGCCAGCAAATAATAGATGATGACATTGCTATGTTATGCCTCCTCCTGTACCACCGCACTGTCCTCAAGCCTTTGGCAGAGATATACATCTATAGCAGATCTATAGATGGCGTTTTGGACTAGATGTTCTATAGCTTCCCATCTCAGTTAGACTAAAATCAAAGTTCAGATTGATAATGCATCCCAAATAAATATGAGCTGTTCTGGAGGGCTTTATAAGCCTATAATATAGAAGTAATCATAAATACCCTGTTAAAATATGATAAAGGCGGCATTACAGAGACTATGTACTGTTGCTAATGCAGCACTGAATCACAGGCTTCACTAAGATCTTAACTTGTATAATGGGCATGACAGGCCAAGACAACTGATGGCTACCTCCTTTGGACAACATGGATTTACAGTTTGTGTGTGTTGGAAGGGATGCTGGTGGATCCCAGACCTTTCTTTTAGTGTGATGCTTGTTGGCCAAACTGGTAGAAGAGTCCGCTTTTGACATAGAGCCATGGTGCCTTTTCTCTCCCCTCCCATTGTCACCCTACAGATTTAAAACATGTGGAACTCATTTCTCCCCTTTCCGCTTCCCTCTCCTCACCTCTTCTCATCTCAGGTTTTCTTAAAAAAAAAAAAAAAAAACCCTGAATGGCAGCAGCTACAGTACAAAATCAACACCCCCCCCCCACAACCTCCTCCCCATCCCAACCCTCTCACTCTCTTCTTCCCTCTTTTCTTGTTTGCGTCAATTCTCCTCTGATTCCCTCCTTTGCTGCTTTCCCCCGCCTTCTCCACTTTTATCTTTTCTTCCTTTTGAAAACTCAGGGATGGGGACTACGAGGCATGCTTTTGGAGCGAAAGTGAGGGGAAAGAGAGCGGAAAGGAAGGACGGTGGTGGTGGTGGGGGGGTTCGGGCTCACCTCATGAAAGAAAGGGAGGGAGGAGAAAGTATAAATGAGGGGGTGAGAGAGAGGCAGGGAGGGAAGAATGCAAGGCCAGCTGTGTTAAATACCTGACTCTTTGCAAGCCCCTCTGAAGGTCAGCCTGGAGCTGGGGGCCTACTGCTTTAGTCATGCTGGGTCTCTCCCTCCTGATGAAGACCCCCCCTTTTTTCCTCTCCCCTTTCTTTCCTTCTCTGACACACTCTCATGCTTCCGCTCTATACTTTTTTTTTTTCTTTTTGCTCACTCCCCCTTCTCTCCCCCTTCTGTACCATGGCAAGAATGCATACACAGCGGGAGATGTATGCTGAGGAAAGAGTGAGTGTGAATGAGAGAAATGGAAAGAGAGAAATTGTGGGCTATTTAAAAAGACATAAATGGGGCATAAGGAGAAAACCAAAGTTTTCCCAGAACTTGTATTTTAGGGGAGGAAGTTTCCTGACCCCAGATTAGCCAGTCATATTCATTCATTACAGGGTGTAGTTGTTACTAGTAGCAGGCAAGGTCACACACACTCATGCACACTCCCTCATTCAATCACCTCGCTGCTTTGTGTCATTAAACAACTTGTCCTCATCTTAGATCCTCAACATAAATGAAATACACACATCTCACTCCACAGGAAGTAGAAACTGAATGTCACCCACCTGTTGGATGCTGTTTCATAGTGTTGTATTAGTATTAATCTGTTCTGTGCTTGTGTAACCTCCCCAGATCATACAAGAGAGGAGACTCGCTCAACCCCTGCCATATGGGCTCTTTTGCCCCCGTCAGCAGCACCAATGACAGCGAGGTGTCTAGTGACGCTTTGACCGACGACGCCATGTCCGTGACTGACAGCAGTGTGTAAGTGGATATTAACTAAACGTGTGAGAGAGAGAGAGAGAGAGAGAGAGAGAGAGAGAGAGAGAGAGAGAGAGAGAGAGAGAGAACGCCAGCACAGGACAGTGTTTCAGGGATTTGAAATTAGGTCCTATGGAAATCAAATAACTAAGATGTGTGACACCTTGCTCCAGCTGGTTGTTGGGAGACATAGGAAGAATGATTTGCTATAGTAGTGAATTGTTGCCCCTTGAAAACACTTTGAGACACTGGAGCAGCCATGATATGACATGAGTTAATGCCAAGCCCCATCCTTGTATCCTTATCCTTGTGTGTCTAAAATAACATTTTACTGTAAATGCAAAGGGACTTTTCAAGTTGATACATGCTAATGGTCAGGGAGGCTTTACATGTAGTAGATTAATTCAACCATCTCTTATTTATCAGCAAGATTACTCAAAATGTTCTGAACTGATTTGTGCTGAACTTGGTGGAGGTATGTTGCATGGGCCAGGGAAAAAGTTATTCAATTTTGGGACAGATCCAGATCATTTACTATCAATTTGAATTTTTCCTCTGAAGTTTGGTGTAAGTTTTTTGACATTGGCCTTGGCAGATTTGATTGACTGATTAATAACAACAATAAACAACTTCAGAGAGCCCATGCAAACTTGTTTTGTCTGAGCAAGAATCCAAAACCCAAAGATATTCAGTTTACAACAGAACAGAGAAAAGCAGCAATGCAAATGCTTGGTAATTTGCTTGCTAAATGATGAGAGGTCGGCTATCAAAATTATTGTCAATTAAGTGCCTACGGATTGATGAATTGTTTCAGCACAAAAACAGTGCTTAATGCCGCTGTCCACCTGTAGTTTGTGCTTTTCTGTGTACATGCCTGGGTCCTCCCTCCGCCAAAGGATAACTTGGCGTAATCGCATGTCTCTCAAGTGACAAGGTACTATGAAGTCATTGCATGGTGCATAGCTCAAGGCCAGGAATGCTCAGGTCAGCTGGTTCAGGACAAAGAGCAGATAAATCTTGGTACAAGTTCTTCTTTACCTCATCTCACATGGGAGGCGTCAAGGCCTACATGGATGATGTCATTGAAAGGGCAAGCTGAAGATGACCAGCCAAAAGTACTTAAAGAGGGAGATACTGATGTTTAATGCAACCAGTGGACTGGGCTACAACTGAATATGGCAGCTATAAAGAGTGTTTTACAACAGGGAGCCCTGTGCTCAGGCATATCTCTAGACAGCCCAGCTTCAAAGCGGCCGAGGCCAATATAGTCCTGTTCTGCTGTACTTTGACCCAGTGCAATGACAAAGCTCTGGCCACAACGACACAACCCCCCCCACCCCCCACATTATTTCCTGCTTGCTCTGGCCTTGATCAGAATATCTCTCTTTAGGTCAGTTAAACGGACCTATAAACATTTGAATCTCATTTACAGATACACACACACTCAGATAAAGAAAAGAATAGAAAAGGGAAAAAGCAACGGGGGAGGAGGCATTTGGGTGGGAAGAGAAAGACAGTGGTGGAGGGGGGATTTTTGCTTATATCTTATTTATGGATTTGCTTGGACGCTGGGGAATGCAGCTGCGCAGACTTCAAACATTACCTTATCTTACAAACCAGCCTTTTGATGTGCGGAGATCAGAGGCTGGCTGCGGCAGCGCTTGCCAAATGAAGATTGGAGGGGGTGGAGGGGTGGGGGGGTTGCTTATGCGCATGACTGTGGCATTTCAAAGCAAAAGTGGAAAAGTGCTCCTCAGTTAGGCTAGGTCACCAGGAAACTGCTGTTTAGCATGGGAGAAAAGACACTGTTTTACACTGTCAAGTGCTTCAGTTTGAAGCTTGAGCTTTGCTGTTTGTTGTTTGATTTCATTTTTAAGCCAGTCAGCCATTCAGTCCCTCAGATAGATTTAACCAGGTTAGCTGCACCCCTGGGTCCTGTCCTGCAGTAACTCTTTGAATAAGTATAATGAGTAGCTAATGCTAACAGTGTCCTCAGCTCAACATAAAAGTCGGTAGGGGAATGCTAATGCTGACACTACTTGTGGCCAGTAGAGCAGAGCGCACTGTGATTGCAGTGTGTGTGTGTGTGTGTGTGTGTGTGTGTGTGTGTGTGTGTGTGTGTGTGTGTGTGGTTGTGTGTGTGTGTGTGTGTGTGTGTGTGTGTGTGTGTGTGTGTGTGTGGGGTTGAAAGGAACTGGCCAGCAGGGTGCCCTGTGCTGTGCTGAAGCCAGAGCTGAAAATGAGTGTCATTTCTAGGGCAAACAAAACCTCCTACCACCTCACTCAGAACCATGTAACCCGATCTGCTCTGACACACATACAAGGCCGGAAATGCTGGCATGATTTACCTCTGAGTATCTTCTTTGTTCTCAGATTAAGCCTGAAAGATGAAAAACAAAATGGATAAGAGAATTAATAAATTAGATTTCTTCTTGCTTGAACTGTGTTTGATCTACCCAATTGGCTAACAAGCTTCTTCCTGAATGACTGGTTGGTCTTTAATGATGTATTTGATTGGGTAATTGACCTTTGTGATCTGTCTGTACACCCCCAGAGATGGCATCCCTCCGTATAAACTGGGCTCCAAGAAACAGCTACAGAGAGAGATGCAACGCAACATGAGGATGAACAGCCAAGTGTCTCTGCCTGCTTTCCCTGTAAGTACACAAACACACACACAAAACCACACACGCTCAGAAGTCTTTTTGAACCTGGGTCCCACAGTCTAATTTCCATACCACCCTCTGTTCCGGGTCTCTCTTGGTTCTATGAATAGTTCCGCACAAACTGTATTCGGCATTCTCAATTCAACAACACCAGCAAAGATCTGAAGAGTAACGTCAAAGACCCAGCCTCCCACACACACACACACACACACGCACACACACACGCACACGCACTCATACACACATACAAACACGAGCCCCCTCGCTACCTTTGGTGTCACCTACACCCCCATTAGGGTTCCTTGAAGTCTGCGGGAAACGGGGAGGTCTCTAAGCTGTTTATCGCCACAGCGCTCGGAACACACCAGGGCTTTTTCTCCCCTACTGATGCTGTAAATATGGAGAATAGGGAGAGATGAGGAAGATCTCTGCCGCTTTATCCCGAGGGCCCTGAAATCAGCCAAGTTCCCCAACAAAAACACAAAGATACTCAGACACATTCACACGCACATATGCGCACACGCAGCGCTTTGATCCAAGGATGAATGGAGCAAACGCACAGGGAAGTGACAACTTCCAACAGAGCTGGCCCCCTTTTTTTTCCAATGCACCCCCCTGCATATACACACACACACACACAGTCACGCACACAAACACACACTCAGCCAGCCCCCTCCCCTAAAAGTGAGGGATCTAAGGGAAGAGTTTGAGCGTGTCATGTGAGGTCTCAGTGGGTCAGAGGGGAGTTGGTAGCTTAAGGCTTAATAGACGCTAACTTCAGGTTGAGAGAAGGCTAGTAAAGGTCTGGAACGGAGACAGGGGGACATTTTACACAAGTATTTGTAGAAGAAGTAGCTTGTCAAATGAACTTGATGTAACCCCCTTTTTTTCAGAATTCTAAGACATGCAGCAAGTGTTACTTGTCTTAGGAAAAGATTTACAGATTGGTTTTTGCCACTCTTTTTCCCACTGTCCCCTTTTTGCTTTATTTTCGCTTTTATTCTTGTTTTTGTTTCCCGTCTGATTTTTGGCGATGGCTGCCATTCCCATGGTGCACCAGCCTCAGGCTCCATCAGACGGCTCCTCTTTTTCTCAGTCTTTTCTCCCCTTCATCCCTACTACAAAGGGATGGGAGAAACAAAAAAGAGGAAGAAAAATCAAGAAAGCCCTAGTGCAAAAATGCAAATAATTTAAGATGTGAGCACACACACACACACACACACACATTCTCATACTGTCACTATACTGTACCTCAAAGGTGCCCAGTGTGTGACAAGGGGGGGAATAAATTACCTCAACCTTTCTGATCTCACATCCTTTTTTGGCACCTTTATCTCTCTCCTCCAATCCTTCCCTCTCTTCATTTTCTCTTTCTCTCCCCTCCTGTGAGCACACATCTCTGCATCTCAACTTCTCCCATTTTTTTAATCCCTCATCCTCTCCTCCCTGTAGTTCTCTTCCACCCCCTGTCGATATGTGGCTTTTATTCCTAGATGTAAAGCCACTGCTTCCCATCTATCTATCCCTCCATCCCTCCCTCCACCACCCTATTCTCCCCCCACTGAGTGTTTGATATTTGACGAGGAAGTCTTTGAAGTGAGCTGACTTAAAAGAGGCCTGCTGACGATGACAGAGGGAACCAGCCGAGGCCTAGCCCAGCGTGACCATACACCAGGCCTGCCACCCTTTTAAACAACCCCATAGCCCTGGGTGCCTATGATAGTGCCCTGATCAGTACCACCAGTGGTGGGGCAGGCGCTGGTGGAGAACAATGCATAAATGTAGATAGATGAGGCGAGAGAGACTTTGTAGAAGTTTGGGAGGGCTGGGGCTTCGTCATGGAGGGATGACAGGGATGATGGAAGAGCTAATGTATGTTTTTCTCCCCAAAGCGTACTCGTTGTCCTCCCAAGGAGGTGGTCCCAATGGAGCCGGCAGAATTTGCAGCCCAGCTCATCTCTCGCCTGGAGAGCGTGAAGAGAGAGCAGGACACCATTAACTCTCTGGAAGAAAGGCTGCAGCAGATTCAGGAGGTTTGTGAGAGATTGGTTCTTACTGGAAAAGTGAAGAGTTAATTGTTGTTGTTTGTTTTTTTTTTTTGTCAGATGATGACTCTCTATGCCTTGTTTGTTTTTACAAGGAGGAAGAAAGAGAAGATACTGAGATCATGGGAAGTGCTCCCCAGCTCTCCCCCCACCCTTTGACCCTCCTCTCTGGCTCTTCTGACGAGGACCCCCAGGCCATCCTGGACGAACACCTCTCTCGTGTCCTGAAGACCCCCGGCTGCCAGTCCCCTGCTGTCATCCGACATTCACCTCGCTCCAGCTCCCCGGAGCACAGGCCCTTCACCCGGGCAGGCTTTGGAATCAAGGCCCTAGTGAGGACTGGGCCCTCCACTTCTTCTGTCTCTAGTCCTGACCAAGGGGCATTCACTCTGGCCTTGGGCCCCGGCAGGACCCTTGTAAGCAGGCAGAGCACGAAACACATCCACCACCACTACATCCACCATCATGCCAGTCCCAAGACTAAAGAGCAGATTGAAAGGGAGGCAGCCCTCAGGGTGCACGGCCTGTGCTCCAGCAGTGGGGACTGCCAGCCCTGCCAGCCTTACCAGCGCAGCCGCAGCCTTGGTAGAGAGACGTGCGGGGCTATTTCAACAGACAACAGTGTGGGGTCAGTTCCACCCCTTTATTTCCAATTTTTCATGTTGATTGTATAAAAATAAACAATGCTAACTCTTTCCGATTTCTTCCTCCCAGGCGTTCCAGTTCTCTATCCAGGCGTGTGTGTCGTTCAGGGGCTGAGGATGGAGTAGCGGAGAGGTGTATGGAGGACTGTGGGCCGTTACAGCTGCCCAGCGACACAACAGACCCCACCCAAAATGTGTTGCAGTGGATCCTGGAAAGTAAACAGCGGGGCAGGCACAAGTCTCACAGGTGAGCAGTGGCTAGAACCTTGAGAGCTTAGGTGTTTGCATGAGTTTGAGCCTAAAATGTGCCAATTTGTATCCCACTGTTGCATTTTGTTGATGCATATATCCTTTTGCCCCTTGCAGTATGCAGAGCACCAAGAAATCCTTTGGAGGCTCCTCCACCCAGACGCACACATGGGGTGGTGGAGGAAGCTGTGGCCACCTACGTAGCCACCAGCCAGCCCAACCATTCATCCAAGACCCTGCCATGCCTCCCTTGCCCCCTCCCAACACTTTGGCCCAGCTGGAGGAGGCCTGCCGTAGACTGGAGGAGGTCTCCACCAAGACCACCAAGCAAAGGTACATAGGGAGTAGTTGTTGAATATTGCTTTTGGCTGTGGTCTGACTTCTTGCTTACTTATGATTTCTAGCCATCTCAGATTTGATGTCTTGCATTGTCACTAAAGGAACTATCAGTTATTATTATTATTGATCATAGCATTAAAGTCTCTGTTGCATCTCTTCCCAGGCATGCGATGTCCAGTCTCCAGCGAGAGAAGAGCCACCTAGTGCCTGTCCAGGGTGGGGGGTCCGTCCCTCTGTCTCTAGCCAATCCCAGCCCTGCTGGCCTCCTCACGACCAGCCCCGGTCTCCACTCAGAAGAGTACGATGCCTCTAGCGTCCTGCCCTCCCTCTCCTCTCCTCCTCTCTGCTCCTCTTCTTCCTCCTCCTCTCAGCCATAGCCTCCACCTTGCAGTGTACTTCTACCCTTTTAACTCTTCTTTCTTGTCACCTGCACTGCTCACTGCATATGTAGGGAGACAGACGAATAGTCATGTGCAAACCCACATGTAACGTGTACACGCCCACACACAGTCACTCAAAAGAGAAGGTGACCCCTCCCTCCCTCCCTCCCTCCCTCCCTTGCAAAGCTTATTTTAAGCTTTGTACACACCAGCTTGGCTCTGCCTCAGTGTTTGCATGAATCTTGTGTATTTGTGCTGTGTGTGGGGAGTGTGTAGTCACTGCACCACCTGACTGAGACATCCCTTTCATATATATGTATCATTTTTATTGGCTGTCCTTCAGTGAGCTGGCAGTCAGCTGGGGCGAGCAGAGCCTAGCAAAGAGAGAGCTCCTCTGAAGTGGGCCTACAAAGCCTTGGACATAGCTGAAGGGGAATTGTTAATACTGTGCCCCTTCTCCATGCGCACACAACACACAAGCACACACTTGCTGATGGCACTGGGTCACTCACTCACTAGTGTTATTCTTCAGTCAGGCTGCTGTTACTGTGCTTCTAGTCTAGCACTGTCTTCTGTATCTGATTTCTCTTTTTATCATTATCTTGTTAAGTGTCATGAGGGTGTCCACTCCTTCTCACACGCCCTCTCTGTCTCTCTTTGTCTACTTTCAGGGTGAAGGAGTGTAAGAAGGGTTTAGGAAGCCATGGGGTGTGCAGCGGAGAGACGGTGGTGACGTATTTCTTCTGTGGTGAGGAGATCCCCTACCGGAGGACCATGAAGAGCCACAGTCTCACCCTGGGCCACTTCAAGGAGCAGCTCCGCAAGAAGGGCAACTACAGGTGTGTAGAGGGAAATTTGAATCCTAAGTGGTATCGATTTAAAGTTTTACAAAAGCGATTCCAGTGACGCCTTGTGAACTTTTCCTATCTGTCCTTCAGGGATATTGTGATTGCCGGCAGTAAAATGATATCAGCTCATTGGCCGTGAGAATTGAATTTATTGAAGTTGAGTGTTGGCTTTAGGAGTATCAACCCAGACTGACTTAGAGCCTGCGTACAGGTCACAGTCTTAAGCTGAAAATTTAGAAAGGGCTAGCTTTATAATGCACTTATTGTTTTCCAAAATGGCAATTACATAAGTAAGAAGTGGAGGAACTGGTAGAGGAGTAATTCCCAGTATCTTCAGTGGCATGGGAGCAGTATGGCTGACTTTGCAATCTGTGATCATTAGTGTCACCTCATCGTTATGTGGTGACATTTTAAGACATTTTGAGCAATCCAGAAGACTAAAGAAAACCACAGCCTGAAGCGACACTGATGTTTGCTACCTCAATTGCTAAAGGCTTCAGGCTGCACTGTCTAGTGATAAATCTATATCTTTGAATTCTGGTTAGTGTGACCTTGAAGACCTTAGATATTATATTTTATCTTCTCTTTGACTGTGCTTCATACATCAGTATTTGTTTCAGTGTGTATATGCAGACAGTTTAAGGCCTTCATGGTTTTTGTGTGTGTGTTGAGGGGGGTGCAACGAAAAGGAAAGGACAAGAGGGAGGGAGGGTGGGTGGTGGGGGGGTTAGTGGGAGAGTTTGAACTGCAGCGATTTGGGTCCCATCTGGTATTGATTTCCATGCTAAGGCACACTTAATACACATGGCTTTGAAGCCCCGGCCCCTTTCATTTCAACCAACAAAGACTCACACAAATGGCCAGCGTGCAAATTCTTCACTGATGCTATCAGGGGCTCTTTTTTCTGCTGTGTGTGTGTGTGTGTGTGTGTGTGTGTGTGTGTGTGTGTGTGTGTGTGTGTGTGTGTGTGTGTGTATACATGTGTGCACGCATGAATGTGCTTGCGTTGAACACGCACAATGTTTACACATGTTGTAATCATTTTATGGATATTTTTGAAAGGCAGATTGTTAAATGCCAGATCCGCTTGTTTGCCGTACTACAGGGCCCTGACTGAAGCCGCACCGCTTCAATGTGTGTTTGCAGAGAGAGATTTGACTTTGATTGCTTCTTTCCAGTGGGCATTAAAGGGAAAAGATCAAACACTTATTGTTTAGACTGCCATGGTCTCCAGGATAAGCATGGGTTGAGTATTGTGTTAATAATTACAGGTATCAAACTATGATTTCTAGGCGAAAAAAAAAAAAAAGCCAAGGAACCCCTAGAAACTTCTTCCTGTCCAGATGTGTGCAGCATTTTTGGATCAACAAATGTGACGAGTACTTAGCTCTGCAAGTTCTTCACATCTGTCTGTTTGCCCCCCCCCTCTCTTCTTTTCTCTCTGGCTCGCTGTCTCAGTTCCTGTGTCATACCATCCACATTTTTTGGAAAGAGAGCTGCGCGGCGCTTTAATAGCAGCCAGAGAATGTGTGGAGTTGGGTCATTTCAACATGGCAGCGGTTCAACAAAGAACAGTACTGCTGGGTCCTGCCAGACGATATTGGTGCCAGATGTCAGAGCAAACGGAGAGAGAGAAGGGGAGAAGGGGGGAAAAAACAGATCTAGCCACATAAAACATGTTCCAGTGGAAATTCAGGCTCTCTCTGTCTCTGTCTGTCTCTCTCAGCAAAAAAGATCATGGCTCTTTGAAGATTTTTTTTTTTTTTTTTTTTTTTTTTTTTTTAAGAGTAGGACGGCTCAACTTTTTCTTTTTTTTTTTCTTCCTCCTCCAGATAGGAAAGGAGGATACAATTATCAGGCGTGTCTTGTGCTCTTTCATGTCGCCTTATTTATCTACTTAGTCTTATTTACTCTATTTATTTTCCTCAGAGACCTCTTGTATTCCGTTTAGTTGAAGCCTTCCTGTATTTCAAATAGAGCTGCTTTTTATTAGTGACCACCCTCATGCTGACTGGAGCGCATGCAGTCACAGGCACCTTTTGCAATGATGTTTTTAAGACTATAGCTCTCGTTTTATATGTATTGCATGTTCGGCTTTGTCAGCCTCCCGTCTCGTTAAAGACAAAATGCTCACAAACACACACAAACATTCCAGTCACCCCACACATGGAGCAAATCGAGGCATTTTTCCATTACATAGTTAATGAGTGAATTCTGAGACCCCCTTAACAAACCCACCCCTGCTGGTTTCTCTTCCTCTAAAATGAGGATAGGGGGGGTTGCATCATTAATGGCCCAGTGAAGTCATGGCTGACAAGAAGCCCCTCCTTAGATTCTTTTCTGTTTCTTCTTCAACACACACACACATATACACATATACACATACACACACACACACACACACACACACACACACACACACACACACACACACACACACACACACACACACACACACACACATATAGTTGTCAGTCGGCTGCCCTTCCTATAGCTCTCAGCGAGAGCTCATGCTATCAACAGGGGTAAGGAAGGACACAGTGTTCTGCTTGCTCTGTCTCCTCCTCCTCTACGTTGCCTCTGTTCTTTCCTTTGTCCCTGTAATAATAAAATAGGGATGAGAAGCGAGTGAAAGCCTGAGCGTATGTGTCTTCTAACGTGTGCATGAGTGGGTGTGGAGTGGGGGGGTAATGACAGGCAGACTTGCAGGCACCCAAAATTTCAGTCTTTGTCAAAGTACCCCTTCATTTGCACGCAGGCCTAATTGGCCCCGGTTAGCCGGGGCAAAACTCACAACAACATGATGGAGGAAAAGGGAAAGGGAGAGGTAAAAGAGAGGAAGAGTGGAGGGAGGGATGAAGAGAGCCAGCCTCTCTTTTTAGATCAAGACTTTTCAGCAGCAGATTCCACCCCACCCTGACAAGTCGGTCTATAGGCTGAGTAGCTTTTTGTGGTTGGCGGAAATGAAGCTTGATGTTAAAAAGGTCGTCTGTACATAGTTTGAATGATGCTTGTTGTGTATGAAAATGTCAGGCTTTCGATATTAACTCTTGTCATGTCTCTCTGTTGCAGGTACTATTTCAAGAAAGCCAGTGATGAGTTTGAGTGCGGTGCGGTGTTTGAGGAAGTGTCAGACGACGGCTCCTTGCTGCCCACCTACGAGGGCAAGATCCTGGGCAAGGTGGAGAGGATGGAGTGAGAGCATGCTGCACATGTTGTGGAATAAACTCCTACACACGCGTCACACCTCTATGGATGTACTCCTTCATATGCTCACACAACACACAAAGCGTGTGTCTTTTTAAGCTAAGACTGTAGGACTGGAGATGTTGCTGAAGGGATGTTGTTGAGGTCGGTGCAAACGGACTGGATGAAACATGGAGAAGAAGAAAAAAGAAGGAGGACAAGTTGGCGCTAATGCAGGACTATCATGTGAACAGCTCGCCTTGAAGTGAAGAAAACAATGGACTGTGTTGCTGGACTGATACATCTCCATGATTCCAGAAGAGAAAACTCTAGAGACTCTAGGTGAATGACCACTTGTCAAAGAAATGGGGCAGTGGGTTTAAATTTGAGACTGACACCCTACCTGACCCTGCCTGTGCCAGCGTCCGCCCATGGGCTAGCACATCGCTAATATGTATATGCACATATACATGTACATTGCATTGTATTGTGATGCTCGTATTGTTGTGTAAAGATTTCTATTGCTATTTATTGGAGATATCCCTGCCCCACCCTTATTATTCTTCCATGGACAAGCTGCTTGGAGTTGAAGAAACTTCTTCAATTTCCACAACCGTGATTTTTTTTTTTTTTTTCTTTCCCTCCCTCTTGAGCATCAGTTCTCAAGCAAAGGAAATGGTTTTATTCATTTTCGGCCCCTCATATTGAACTGTAAACTTCAAAAATACCTCTTCAAAAACTCCACTCCTGTTCCTGGAGATTGAGTGGGACATCTCTGATCTCTTGGCTGGAGAGCTTACTGCTGAAGCTTTGAGAATGGCTCTCTGTCACTTAAAGTTTGATAATATATTTACTACTACAGTGCTATTTGTGGCTGTGTCCCCCATCCACTCTGAAGGGCCCTGAGTGTACTATGAAAATGCTATTAATGTTTAATTCCCAACTCTGGGTCTCTTCCCAGCTAGCCTTGATCCGTCGCGTCTTAGTGCCTTTGTTTCAGTGGCGCAGGCATCGCACAAATAGCCTACGTATTTACTAAGAGGAAACTGCCCACAACAGGTCCTCGAGTCCCCAAAATGTGTTTACACCAATAGTAATATTTACCAACAAAAAGCTCTATGATGTGCTCCCCAACGTGCTTACTTATGTGTATGTGTGACTGAGATGCTTTTGATTTGGATTACTTGGTGTGTATTTGAAGCCTGCACTATGAGTTGCAGATGATAACAATGGTGGTGATATACACTATGTCCATAGTGTTTTAATTGAGTACAGAAGCTGTGCCTACATGGATTCTTGCCGTGTTTTACCCAGTTTTCAGGGTCCTATTACTCCCTTGGTTTTTCAAGGGGCCTTATGTTGAAAAGATATTTTTATGCCTTTTAGTATCCGTTTCATCATGTTTATGTTTTATAATATTTTTCATGGCTTCCTTGGCTCCACTTGTAAACTGTAAATTATGCGTTCTATAGAGCTCAGTTGAAAAGATGCCTCGGTACTTTAATTATTGTAATTATGAAGAGATGTAGCCTTTATTAAAATGTTCTATTTTTCAAATTAGCAAATGGCTTCCTATGTTTTTCAATGTGTGGCTTGTGATTGGGTGTTCTATGGGCTTTCTGAGCTCTAATTGGAATGTGTGTGCGTGTGCGTGTGCATGTGCGTGTGTGTGTGCGTGCGCGCGCGCGCACGCCCGCCTGTAACAAACTTCACTACTACACACCCTGCTGTGGAGAGTGCAACTCATTGGATCCAGTGAGAAATCTTTGCCAGATTTGCATCCATTATCAGCTCTTAATTTCCAACAGGGAGTAAATTAAAACATGCAGCATTAATTTGGCCACCGGAGCCTCTGTGTTTTAGTGTAAGGAGGAGAGAGGAAGAGTATCTAAAAATGTGTTAATGAGACATTTGGCAAATAAGTGCCATAAGTACATTTCACCCTTCTATTTACATGGTAAACCGTTTGGCCTCCTGTGGCAATTTATGATCTGTGTGTGATGTCTCTTGCTCAGACCCAATTAGGTTCCCATTGAATGGATAATAGCAGACTACTGCATGAATGAAAGTTACAGGTATAGTTGGGCGATAAATCGATTTTATCGATTAATTCGAATTCATGGTTTAGGACGACGTTTAAAAATTAAAATCGAATTTCACCTAAATTTGGGTTAATTATGGTACGGAGCCGCCACCCACTTCCCTGAGCTTCCGTAGTTTATAATAACGCGAGAGCTCTCTCAACAACAAGTGGAATATCAACATAGCAGCATACGCAAATACAAGTGAGGAGGGATCGTTCCCAAAAAAAGGCAGTGTCTCCTCCAAGTGGTTCAGTGTTTTTATGTGTCCGATCTCGAGTCCGTTGTAAAGTTTGCCAAAAGTCTGTGGCAACTAAAAGCAGCAGCACGACTAATTTATTCCAGCATTTCTAACAGAGGCACGCAGCTGAGTGGGAGAAGCGTACGGCACTGCGAGTTGCACAAGACAGCGGCAGTGTTAAAACACCTGCTAAAAAGCAGGTAACGTAAGTGGAACGCTGTGGGCTCGTGGAACCTCAGGAGAGACCTACACGCCTGCATGACGACAGACGTGGACCTACCTCCAGTGCTTTGGACACAAACTGCACAACGCCATCAGTAAGTGTCTGAATGACAATGAATAACTGCATTTTGAACAGTGCTTTAAAAATAAGTTTATTGATTGATAGATTAAAGAAATTAGTAACATCGTAAATCGGGTGTGGTGTAAACGAATCTGAGATTTTATTTTTAGGCCATATTGCCTGAGAAGTTAAATGCTTTAAGATGCAATTCAGTTCTTTAAAGGATAGGTTCACAATTTTTCAAGATCGAGTCTCAAAACAATAGTCAGGTCCCCATGTAAATAGAGTATGAAACTGTTTTTTCTTGCTGTAATCATTCCTTCTGTTGATACTGGTCATTAACAGACCTCCCTCTTAATGTGCTTTCAGTGTAAGTGATCAGGGAGAAAATCCATAGCCCTCCTTCTCTGCGAATACTGTTTGTATTCAAAAGTTAAAGTTAATTAGCCTAAAGGCTTCAAACGTTCAAGTTAAATAAATCAAATGGTCATCTTCCAAAGTTACAGACCAGAGGCAACAAACTACCAAAACACGCAGTCATTTCTTGATGAGGGGAAGGTCCATATGAGTTAGGCTATGGATCATTTACAGTCTGCGCCAGAAAATCAAACATCTAGCCTTTCAAGGATAAAGTCTAGACCTTTTAGACTTTTTGTTCACAACAAATTCCATGAGAAGCCCAAAATCAACAGTGCTTTAATCCGTCTTCCAGTACTTTCAAACTTCTCCACCCTGTTTGTTGTCAGCCCCAAACTGAGCATGTACTGTAAATCTCTTAAAATAGGTCACAAATACATAGTTACATGTTTACAAAATGCTCAGTAATTTCTTAAAACACCTGGCGTAGTGTAGTTTGTAGCAAATTTTACACTTTACAGTAATTAGTGCATTTGTTGGGGACTATTTTCAGCTGTGGAGCAACACACATTTGGCGTCCTGTGACTAGCAATGGTACGGCTCAATAATGTCTTTTTAACAATGGAGGTCTATGATGGAAAAATAGGCTATATCACGTTTGGCTACACCGACAATACTTGTAAAGGGGACCAGCTGCTTTTCTGTTTCGGTCTTTTCATTTGCTTTATCGACAGTAGAAAACAGTAGAATATCACCAGCTCATAAAATTAATTCTGTCCAGGTTTTGTCAAGCTTTTCCTCTGTGCAGTATCATCTGAGACCTGCGGTTGCATAAGACGTAAAGAAAGCTATCCAGGATCATAGCTACCTTACATAATTTAATTTAAATATGTAATAGCTTATAGCTTCACACACATGCCCACTGATATCTTAACACACATTTTGCTCACCACGCTCTGCCACCCTCTTTCCTTTTTAAGTTTCATTGGCTCAGAGTGTTTCTAATGCTGCCTTTCATATTGAAAGGGCATCATGATATTGTTAAAATACCATTTTCAGTCCTTTCATCAGCAAAGGTCAGTGCATACACTTGAAGGCCACCCTTTGGACTCTTTAGAACTAAGAGGCTCCCACTCAGCAGCGCTTCACTGTCAGAAAGCCTTGTGAACCGATCTTTGTATAGAGGGCTATTTTAGATGGGGTCATCTTTTTGAAGAGTGCACCAGGTTTCGGTGGACTCTAGACTGCTATTCAAACATGTAGGTGCTTTTTAAAAGTAGGTGGTTGTGAAGAATTAGGGGCATTTGAAGGTGGCTACAAAGTGCTTTGACAAAGAGGAGTGTAGTTGTGTAAATTTGTATGACTTCAATCTTGTGATAAGATTTCAGAACATAGCCGGTTCTGTAGTTTTGTTCTGAAGCCTCACTGTTTGAGATCATTACTGACTCTGCTAACGATACACTAAGCAGGAGCAGTATATGTTGGGAAAAACATCAAGTCAGTGCTGGCCTGGTTCCAGACCTCTGAATCACCACCCAATTTTTTTTTTTCAGTAAAAAAGCGAAGGCAAAATTGGTCTAACAAAAAGCTGCTTAGCTCAAGATCAACTTACGAGCCTTTTCCAGAGCTTTAACGACATCTCACAGTCTTTATCAGCGTCCTCAATTTACTCACAGCCACCTGTTATCATATGACTGAAGTCAAATACTTAGTCTGTCACGTGATGCATGGTCAGATTGAGCTGTTTTGGGGGTCATGGACTAAAAATGTGATATTTAGCCCCAGTTGCCTCCAAGTTCCCATCGAGTACAGTGCACACAGCACAGTATCTTATATTATGCACAGAGATCCTCAAACCAACCAGTACTCCTATACTGGAGTAAAAATAACTACCAGGCTCCATGTTATTTTTTTGTCAGTTAGTTTGAGGTAATTTTATAAAACACAGGATTATTTAAATAATGCACTATGGTGTCCCTCTACAAGATTTCATAATTATTCAGACCCCAGGTGATATTGTATCTGAGTGGTGCTAATTCTCAACAAATTTGCATGTAATCTAATTACGGATCGACACACAGCAAACCTGGGGCTTTTGAGGCTCTTGGAGGTCTGGGGCCATGCAGCA